GCCAGGTCATCTGAACAGCAGAGCGAGGGGCTAGCCAGCTCCTCCGCAATTCACCACCAAGAGAAAATTGTAGAAAACTCTCAGGTAATCCAAGCCTTCCGGGCACTCTGCCTTCCCAGATGTTTCAGGCTTTGACCCTCTCCCAGCCCTACTCCATGGCCACTTCAGGAGCGTGGGTGAAAGGGAGCCAGAAGTAGATGGGGGGCTAGGCCACCTAAATCTGTGGTGGCGCTAACTCCTCCTGGACCACGGTGGACATTTTTTATTGTCTCTCTGGCAATACGAAAACATGTATAGGAGAAGACGTGGCCTCCTCCTTTGAAGAAGCTGGGAAGACTGTGAACATGGGTGGGGATGGGCCTTTGGGACATCCCCAATCAGGCTGCCGTGCCTGAGGCTGTGGCAAGTAATCAAGGGTGGGGTGTCTTGCTCAACTGCTCTGCGTAAACATGGCCAGCCTCAACCAGCTGATCTCCTGGTGACAGCACAGACTCCAGCTGCAAAGCCCTCTTCCCTGATTAGCGGCTGAGTAACAGCCGAGTTTATTTGCTGCGAGTGACCACCAACCACCTAGCCGGCCTCTGAAGGAGCAAAGCTATTATTCCTAAATTTATGAACTGCTCTTTTGCCGACAAAGTTCCCAGATCAAATGACAAAGCAAACATCCATCGTGCTCAATGATGTGCTGGCCACCCTGATCCTAGTGTGGAAAAGCCAGGCGTTGTATATTTTAAAGCCAGCATAGCATCCAGCGCCTTACGGTTCAACTCACAGATGTAAACATCCCATCCTTAATGACCTGTATTGCTTGATCAGTACTAAACAGATTTGCTTGCCCTAATACAGTCCAGGAGACAGCTTGCAGAACTCCCTCGTGGTTCTCAGGAGCTGAATTCATATGCCATGCAAAGTTACAGCTTGTTTAATCAGAGGTTATGGTGAAAGCTACAACTGGCTCATTCCTATCTGCACTAAGCCACATATTTTGGTTTACATATCACAGCTTACGGATCCACATGACACCCTAAGCCAAAATCAACCAACTCCCTTATGGTTTAACCGAATGTGTGAAAGCAAATGACATATGTGCTCCCCAGGGGTCTAGTGAGCTGATAAAATGTTTGAACAGACTATTCAATACTAGAAAGGGTTGGCTATATGAAATCAGTGGCTATAAGGCCAGTTTTTGCCTCTCATGTTCCCCTTGATTCCCAAATGGAGATAATAATCCAGCAATGTATGAACATGGCCAATTTGATTTCCCCGAGAACCTCTTCCTACAAACTCACACCAAACATCTGGAGAGGGCATCTCCCCCCCCCTTTCCCTTTTTACTAGTAGAAACTCACCACTACTCTTGTTTTCTCCCAGATTGTCAGTTTAGCTTGCAGGTACTTGAGTTGCAAGAATGCAATATTAAAGGTAAGATTTCTTTGCAATGGAGTAACTGGATCCTCTCCTAATGTTTTGGAAACACCTGTACCATCATTGGCCACAGCCATACTGGCTGGGGCTTAGAGATGCTCTAGTTGAAAACTTCTGGAAGGGTCTCCGTTGCTAAGTCTCCCCTGGGTAGATCAGAGTCCTACAGAATTTGGGCCATGGGATCTACACTAAGGCCAGCGCCAGCCCAGCACCCTCAGCCGCTCTCTGTGATACACAATTCAAAGCATATCTTGTTTAATATGTAGCGACAACATGATAATTTTATCCTTGCTATGGAGCAATTATCCCACAGTCTTCTTCTGGTGGGAACATCTGCTGATCAGGCTCAGGTGAACACAATTAAATCATGCATTGATCAAATCAGAAATGGGGCAACAACCGTTGAGCAATATGTGTTGAGCAAAGTGCTCATCA